CTTGGTATTCTCTATGATGTCACCAGTGTTATGATAACACCAATGCCTGTGTGTTATTCCTTCAGTTCCCATAGACATGTTGGCTAGACTGAGCAGGCTGCTTGGGAGGGAGAATGAAGAACATGGAAATACCAGAGAGAAGCAGAAGGAAGCTGGCCTTTGGTTTCAGTGTAAAACATGGAGAGATATATGGTTCTGGGGAAAGCACAGTGAGTCCTGAGCAGGGGGTGAGAAGCTTCCTGGAGGAGGTCAACTTGAGCTGGGATTTCTAGTCATGGAGCTCAGCAGCTGGGAGTTTCTGAGTAGCAATGGGCCTATCCAGCTTCCCTGGCTTTCTAAAGAGTAGACCTGGAGTCAAGAGTATCTGATGGTTAGTTTAGGACAGCCATGAATTTTCCAGGCTGCAGCTGCTTTTCTGGTAATTCTGTCATTTCATTCTTAGAGGCAAAGAGGGGCAGGGCAGGAGGCACAGATTGAATACTGAGCTGTTCCTCTCTGCACTCTGTAGGGTGTTGCTGCACTTCATCCCAGTGGATTCCTACAGTTTCCATGGGAATCTGATGCCAATAGGAAGGGAAGAAACTCCCCGGAACACACAGCACATCTTCAGATGCTTTGGTCCTGGGCACATGTGATCAACCCTTGGTGCTGCTAAGCTCTAGGGACAACAGGACTTACTTGCATCACATCAGATATGAGCTGACACTGTCCTCCAATTCTACTTGGCTGGGCTAGCTTATGCCTTCCAGGGCCATGGGACTGCACTAGGGAGGGAGGCACATGATTATCCACAGTGGTTGAGGATAGGGACAGAGCTCAGGGGCCCCAGTTTGAGGATAGCTGCCCTGCTGTTCCGAAGCTTCACTGGGTTCCTAGAATTTTCTCTTCCTCAGGCTTCTTCTTGGGACTCAGCATGGACTATCCTGGTCCTATGCCATTCAAGAATACAAGTTCATTTCTTTTTATCTACCTGCAGGGACAGCTGGGGAGTCACCATCCCAACTCTCCAACTGCACTGAGCAGGAGCAGGAGATGAAAAAAAATAGAGAAACTCACCATTCACTTACATGATATGTCATGTGAGAGAAATGAGCTGCGTGGAATCCTGGTCAATCCTTACACCAACAAGGATTTGAACAACAGGTAGTCATTTTGCCCAGCTCTCTGCTGACCATCTTGACACCACAGTATCAAGCTCAGGTTTCCTGAGGAATAGGAGTCTGAAACTCCAGGGTGTCCTGCTGCCTAAACTAATTTTTCTGAGTGCAGTGGAGATACAGAACTTGTATCTTGGGTAGGAATGAGATGGGGACACAGGCTGTTCTGCTTCCTCCGAATGAAAAGCAAAACCTGTGGCCTGAATCACAGTCTAGTGATAGGGACAGTAGTGTGTGAGTTCTCAACATGCATTTCAAGAGACCTTGACAGGTGTTGCCTTGCGGGAGATGCTAGGTTCTGTGAGTTTGTGGTGAGTCTTTGTACTTGACCAATGGATGATTGTGTGCTGAAAGCTCCTGGCAGCAACTGGAAGGCCCTGGTCCATTCATCCATCTCAGGGTGTGGCTGGAAGGCCTAGAGGTCTTCACTGTTCCTCTCTGGTCTTCTTATACTCTGTGACAATGCCACGTCCCCACATTTCTTGGGCATCCTGATTTCATGTGGGGTGTGTGTGTGTGTGTGTGTGTGTGTGTGTGTGTGTGTGTGTGTGTGTGCGTGTTCCTGAGAGTTTGGGCTCTGTGGCATGGTCGGAGGATTTTTCCCAATTTCCAGCAGATGGCACTGCTGTGGCCAGGGAAGCCCACTTTGAGCAGCACACCTCCTGGCCACTGTGCTCACCTCCGAAGAACATTGGAATCACCTGTGGAGTTTATAATGCCATCCTGAAGTTGAGGCTCCTCCCTGGAAATACTGATTGTGTGCTCTCATCCTCTCTGTAGCAACAGGCACCCAGGAATAAAAATCCCTGTTCTGGAGACAGGAGAAATGTCATCATAAGTTTCTGGTGGGTCCAGATATGTGGCACAGACTCCTAGGAACTTCTTAGAGAGCTCATCTATAGCTCCAAGCCCACTGAGGGTGCTCATGCAGCTCTGGCTCCCTCCCCTTAGACCTCCGGAGTCCTCTGGCCTGAGGACAAGATAGGATGTTTAATAAACACCAGGAGGTTCCACTGTTTAAATGCCAGGCTGTGGCATCCACTGCACTGGAGTAGTCCATGACACAGCTTCATTCATATTGTCCCTGTGGCCTGTGTTCATGGAGTTCTTTTCTCCTGGGGCCATGCCCGACTGCAGGCTGAATTTTGAGCTTGAGATGCTTGAAACAGGACACAAGAAGGTGATGTTGGACCTCCAGAAATTGCCCATGGAGATTAGTGATGCCTTGGACAAGTACAAGGGGCTGATTGAGGAGACTGAATGCTTTAGGTAAGTGCCTAATAGCTTGGGAGGGACTGTTTCTGCCCTTCTTTGTCCTTGACCCCAAGTGAGGGCTCTGGTTCCAGCCTGTCTGCCTCTTAGCAAGCAGCCTGCCTTGTGGCCCTTGGACTTGTGCCTCTTGGACTCAGTTTTGCTAAGTATGGAAAAATACTGAGGCCCTCCCATCATTTTCCTGCCAGCCTCAGGAGCTCTTAGATAGAAAAATGGTTTGTACCAAGACGGGGATGTCTGGCAGCCCAGGGCCTCTGGGCACTGGCAGGGGCTTCACAAGGCTGGTTTCCGTGGGACCTGCAGACAGAATTTATTCCTGTTGGAACTTCTGCCCTCTTTCTGAAAGTGTTTGCCCTCTACCTGCTGATGCTTTCCCAATGCCATGAACAGTTAAGCACAGGTGTGGGCTGCACCCTGTTCTCAGAGGCACAGGATCCCTTTTGGTACCAGGATTGCAGAAGTCTTTTGAATCGTTCTGAAATTTGGTTATTCTCTGGATTTGGCCTGCCTCTGAGTGATGCTTGCTTGGCTACTGAGAGCTCCATTCTTAGGCTGTCTGGGGGTCTGGGACTTTTCAGGGTTGGTGGTACTTGGAGTTAGGGAGGGCAAATGCAGGCTCTCTGGAGCTCACCATTTTTGGTGGTGGTTCAGTTACCTCCAAGGCCGGGTCCTATGAGAGTGTACTCAGCTGAAGAAGAATGTACATGTATTGAGACTCAAGAACAGACTGCTGCAGAAGGAGCAGATTGAACTGCAAGAGACCTGTGAGGAGCTTAAGAAGCTCTTGAAGGATGCCCATGAGAGATCTGCGACCCCTGTTCTGAGCAGCAGCAGGTAGGCTGAGGCAGTTGGGGCAGGCTGCCTAAATATCCAACCATAAACTTAGAGACACCCATGTAACCACGCACCCACCCATCCAGCCTCCTAACTACATACCATTCAATTGTTCATTTCTGTGATCATTCACAAGTTTCTCTGTACAGTTGGCCTCTTGTAAGATACTGGATGATTAGCAAGCAAACCCTCCTGCTCTGCTAGAAGCCCCAATACATTCAGAGAGATGGGTCAGTCAGATATCACACACCTACATGTCATTATATTAGGAGTCTGCTATTCAGGGAGCTACTTGGGGAATACCACAGAGCTCTCATTGATTGAGTCAGTGGCCTGTGGCTCATTTGCTTTGCAGGGGTCATGTGAGATCACAGGTAGGAAGCAGCCTGCAAGGGCTAGAGCCCAGGGCCAATGCCAACTGAGTGGTTCTTA